AAAAATTTACCTAATTTATAGTAGAATTATCACAGTATTCTGCACTCAAAAATGTTAATTCAAAATATATTTAGAAGATCCTAAAACATATTAGACATAAATTCTAACATTTTAAACTTGCTACTGTGTACTCTTCATTGGATTCCTTTCATTTAGTTTTGATCTCATATAATGCAGAATTCTAAAACAACATAGTCATCTGTTCTTCTACACCCACCATATTTTCTTTCTACTCAGAATAAGTTTTTCTGTTTTCCAAAATGACATAACATTTATATGTAAAACTTAGAAAGCAACATTTCTGGCTTTCAGGATTGACAGTCTATGCTTTAGTTCCATGTATTTTATATTGTTTGTTTCTGAAAATATTCGTTGTTACTCCCTCAGCTTGTATGGTTTGTGATGAAATCCTTGAAATTTCTGTAAATTAAATTTTCTTTTTAAAATTAGAGTTTTTTTTTTAATTATTGGGCAAATTACTTTTTTAAAGAATACAGTCAAGCACCATATAAGGACATTTTAGTTAACAACAGACTGCATATGTGATGGTGGTGTCCCATAAGACTATACTGTATTTCTACTATACCTTTTCTGTGTTTAAATATGTCTAGATACACAAATACTTACCACTGTGTTACAGTTGTCCACAGCATTCAGTACAGTAACATGTACAGTTTGTAGCCCAGATGTGTAGTAGGCTATACCATATAGGTTTGTGTAAGTACACTCTATGATGTTAGTATAACAACTATCCTTTGAGGTAGTATTCTAACTTATTCCTATTTTATGTTTGAGGAAACCGAGATTAAGATAATTAAAATAATTTTGCCAAAGGTTATAAAAGGAAGTGATTGGAATCAGATCTTTCTGACTCCTACCACCCATGTTCTTGATCATTGCTGAAATCTTAAGGAAAAGTTGAAGACATTATACAATCTTCTGATGGAATATTATGTGGCCAATAATAGTGAGGGTTACGGTGACTATATAATGACATGGAAATTTATAGGAAGTGCTATAGGAAGTGAAAAAAGACTAAGAGATTACAAGTAGATGTTCATAGTGGCTCTGTTTATCATTCCTTTGTTCAAACATGATATAGATAGTGTTCAGCTGTTATATAATTTTGCTTAATTTACAGAATTTCTGTAAGCAGAAACATAAGCCCAATGTAAACCAGATATGGTTAGGAAACTGAACACTTAGTTTTATAATAGACTCTGGCATGTTCAGTTTCTTTTTAATTTTACCTAAAGCCATTTTTTACTGGACTTAATGCCAGCTTTAATGCAATCTCTCATCTGTATTCTTGAAGGCTAATGGAATAGTAAAATTTTCTTAAGGATAACTTAAATGTGTTATATAGTGTCCTTGGGGTAGCTTGTGCACAAAAGATGTTTTCTTTCCCACCCTGTAGAGGTAGCTCATTAGGACACCCAGTAGTGTCATTATTAAGTTTTCATGTGTTTCTCAGTTTTGATGCTAATCTTTGTGCGTATGTGCGTGCATTTTTTTTTCCTCTGCAGCACCAATGTGGTTATGAATTATTCAGAGATCGAGTCTAAGGTTCGAGAAGCAACGAATGATGATCCTTGGGGACCTTCTGGGCAACTCATGGGAGAGATTGCCAAGTAAGTGATAATTTGACTCAGCAGTGCAGAAAAAATCAAAGTATCTTTACACAGAAATGTGAAATTTTGCTTTCAGTTTTAAACTATTTAGCTGCGAAATATAAATTTTGCATAATCATTTAAGATAATAATGTAGAAAGTTTTATGCAAGGTCCATTCCCCTTAAAAATGAGCTCAAAAAACAGAAGAAAATTATTCCTTTTTAGTGATTGTTTTGAGACTTACTATAGCTTACCACGTAAAGTTTTGACAAATGAAAATAAAATAACTTGAAGTAAAGTTACAAACATTTTTTTCCTAATGAACATCTGGGTCACTATGCCAGTGAATGAAGAGTTTGCAAAGTCTGATGTTAATCAGTGGGATTCACAAATGCGCTTGGTAACGTATAAAATATAGGAAAAACATTTTCCAGAAAGTGTATCATCTAAATTTTTTGAATTAAGCTTATTAATTTTCAAAATTCTTTGGAGAAACACAGTAAATTGGAACAAGCCTGCCATCTACTGTCAAAATTAATATATTGCAAATTCTTAAGGAAAATTATTCTTTTTTCAGGGCCACATTTATGTATGAACAATTTCCAGAACTTATGAACATGCTTTGGTCACGAATGTTAAAAGACAACAAAAAAAATTGGAGAAGAGTGTATAAGGTATGGACATAAGTCTGTTTTAATTACTTGATGTGTTGAAAACAAATGCTTAAAATTTAAGGTATATATACATAAATGGTTTTTGAAGCATATTAAATCCTAGAATAGAATTTTCTAAAACAGATGGAAGAAGTAGATTTGTTATTCGTGTTCTGTTTTCTAGTCATCACAAATATTTAAAATTAATAATACTTCTAAATGTTGAGTATTTTTATTTTATTTAAGATTTTTCGTACTAAAATATATTTATGCTTGTCAAAAGTAATGAATCTGTAATAGTATGCATGTTTAGTGTATGAGCAGTTAAGGTGAAAACTATAGTCTAATGTGGTTTGTCATCTTTATATAAAAATTTACCTAATTTATAGTAGAATTATCACAGTATTCTGCACTCAAAAATGTTAATTCAAAATATATTTAGAAGATCCTAAAACATATTAGACATAAATTCTAACATTTTAAACTTGCTACTGTGTACTCTTCATTGGATTCCTTTCATTTAGTTTTGATCTCATATAATGCAGAATTCTAAAACAACATAGTCATCTGTTCTTCTACACCCACCATATTTTCTTTCTACTCAGAATAAGTTTTTCTGTTTTCCAAAATGACATAACATTTATATGTAAAACTTAGAAAGCAACATTTCTGGCTTTCAGGATTGACAGTCTATGCTTTAGTTCCATGTATTTTATATTGTTTGTTTCTGAAAATATTCGTTGTTACTCCCTCAGCTTGTATGGTTTGTGATGAAATCCTTGAAATTTCTGTAAATTAAATTTTCTTTTTAAAATTAGAGTTTTTTTTTTAATTATTGGGCAAATTACTTTTTTAAAGAATACAGTCAAGCACCATATAAGGACATTTTAGTTAACAACAGACTGCATATGTGATGGTGGTGTCCCATAAGACTATACTGTATTTCTACTATACCTTTTCTGTGTTTAAATATGTCTAGATACACAAATACTTACCACTGTGTTACAGTTGTCCACAGCATTCAGTACAGTAACATGTACAGTTTGTAGCCCAGATGTGTAGTAGGCTATACCATATAGGTTTGTGTAAGTACACTCTATGATGTTAGTATAACAACAAAATTGCCTATGAACACATTACTTAGAACATATCTCCTTCATTAAGTAATGCATGACTGTAAATTACTGGTAAGATAAGGTTTTGTGCCCCTCAATTTCACCAAACTAGAGTTTTGTATGCCTAATCATCTTTAAGTGAGGTTTGTTCCAAGCAAGGTTAAGTTCAAAATGTACAATTGGTGATTTTTAGTGTATTCACAGAGTTGTGCAGGAGTAACTACTGTATGATTTCAGAACATTTTCATCACCCCAAAAAGAAAATCCATGCCCATTAGCAGTCATTCTAAATCCACATTCTAACAAAGTTTTCTTAAACGTTAAGTTTTTTTTTTTTAATTGTTGGCAGTAACCTTTTGAAACATAATCTACATCATTAACCTCAAAATTAAATTTGATCTGGGGAAAATGCTATGGGATCATGTAATTACAAATAATTCTTCTGATGTTTCTAATAATTCCTAGTTCCATAATGCTCAGATAAAAAGTAAAAGTTGAGTCAGCTTTCTAAAACCTTATTGTTCATTTATATCATAGATAAAAATATTTTTGAACATCAGAATTACTAATTTTTAAAGATCTTTTGATAGTACCTAGTGGGCAATTTATAATTATTTACTATGCTTAATATAAGAGGCATTTCAGATTAAGCATTAGACTGTATGTTTAAAGTCTAAGGTAAGGTAAAGAAACCCTCCACTACCACCATGAAGATTATTTATTTGCTAATGTTGGAAGTATTTTTTTTTAACCACTTACAAAAGCTCTACCAGAATTTATTTCGTTAAATCATTTGGTGCTTTGTATTTTTACAGTCATTGCTGCTCCTAGCTTACCTCATAAGGAATGGATCAGAGCGTGTTGTTACAAGTGCCAGAGAACACATTTATGATTTGCGATCCCTGGAAAATTACCACTTTGTAGGTGAGCAATAGAAAAACCTTATAAGCAAATTAAAACAGTAGTTGGAGTTGTCAGTCACCTGAACCAGCTTAGAAGCTTCTCTGCTCTAATTAGAATGTGACTGTTGCTGGTTGTGTGACGAGTGCAGAATCCAAGACGTGGGGCCCTAGAGTATTAATTAGTGAAGACAAGAACTTGCAGAAAAGACTGGCTAATAACAACAGAACCAACACAACATGAGTGTTCGGGTTTATATTAAAATATGCACTGGAGACTGGTCCCCTGTGGTGTCCATAAAGGAATAGCTTTAATCATATGGGAAGAAAAGGTTAGAGCTCCAAAACACACACATCTGTTTGAAGCTGGGGTTTTTTCCCTCCCACCAAATAATATTTACTGTGCAAAGGCAGCAAGGCCAGAGTGTGTTTTGAATGTGAAAGAGGCTAGAGAATGAAGCACATTTCATTTTGTAGTGTATCCCAGTTGTGTGAGCACTTGAAAATTTCAGTTTTTGAGCCTCACTAAAGCTTATTAGTGGTAATTAGTGTTCCCAGACTTGTACTGGGGACACCAAGACGTTTGGGTGCTTTTGAGTTATGAAAATGTTAAAGTGGTTTTTGTTTTGTTAAAATACGCTATAAAAAATAACATTTATGAATATGTCCATTTCCTATGGTCATCGTCAGTGATCCTTTTTCGGTGGTTCTTTAATTGACCTTGCATAGTACCATTATCTGTGGTCCTTTATAGTTCATCTTGACGTGCTCTTGTAAGCCAAACTTTCATTTTAGAACTTAGAGTTTGCTAAAGAGGAAATGACAAAGTTAAATAGCACAATTTGCCTCTTTTTATTATTTATTAA